CCCCCACCCTCACCCCAATATTTCTCTGCATGTAAAAAAGAAAATTCTGAACTTCTGCTCCTTCTTCCAAGTCTAGTGCTAGAGAACAGCATTCCACTGGCAATCTTCGGGCCTATCCAGTTACTTCTTCCATCTTTGCCTTTTGAATGTGAAATAGGGAAAGAATAAATGCTTTCAAAATGGCCTAGATCACAGGTACCATGAAGCCATAGACCATATGGTTGGCGTGCTTGATTTGAGCTGGGTGAATCCATTACCTCTGGTGCTCCTAGGCTGCCAGTACCTGAACCTCCCCATGCTACACCTTCCTGTCTCTCTCATGTGCAGCCTCATTTCCCCAGAAAATCCCTTTTCTGCTCCTTCTTAGGTCAGCTATGGTTTTGTTTCTGAAGCTCTGAGTGATAAAACTCACTTCCCGTTCATCTATCGGATGGTCCCCAAAGAAGAACATTTGTACCAAGTGATTGTCAAATTGCTCCTGCATTTCAGGTGGAATTGGGTTGGCCTTGTTGCTCCAGACACAGATAACGGAGAAAGGTTCATAAGGACTTTGACCCCAGTCCTAACCAGGAATGAGATTTGTGCTGCCTTTTCACTGAGGATCCAAGGACTGAAGATGGAAATCCCATTATTGCCTTTTGAAATACTAATCATGTGGAATAACGTCACCGTCTTCATTTATTACGGGGAGATACGTTTCTTTACCTCGATTATAAAAACTTTACAGGTCAGCGTCAGTATATATAGTATACCCATTGTGGGGAAAATCTGGATCACAACAGCTTTGTGGGACCTCACTTTGAATTTCTCTTATGACATATTCTCCAACAAGCAAATCCATGGCTTTTTTTCTTTCTTAGTTCATCAGGAGAAAAAGGTTAAAAATGAGAATTTTGAAGCATTTTACGATGCTATGAACGAGTTTGGACTGGGAGCCTTTAAATGCTTGCTTTCAAAACACGATTTGTCAGTAAAATGGCGGAGAAGGTGCAAGAAGGAGAGGATTCTGGAGGCCTTGACCGAAGAGTTTGTTGACACCACTCTGTCCATGGACAGCTACCGCATTTCCAGTCTTGTACAGGCTGTGGCAAGGGCCATCGATACGGCCCTCTCTTGGAGAACCCAAAGGATGAGACGTGCAAACAGGTTCAGATCACAAAATATTCCACCATGGCAGGTGTGAATTTTTCTGTGAGAAATACATTTTGTAATTTCTTGGAGAAAGTTAAATTTTTGGTGTCTCCTGGGCCTGGTCTCCATGTCATTGAGACAGCACTTGCTCCAAACCATCCTGCTGATGCTCCTTCCCCTTCAAAATCCTTTTTTCCTGGACAGTGTTCAGGTTATGGGAGTTCTATGTCTAAGCAATTAGGAGGAATGTCAGAGTTACACCTACTTGTCAAACAGTTTTTGTGTTGCAAAGTGTTCTGGCTCTAATCTTTCCCAAATGCTGATTGAGCAAGAAAGGACTTGCCCACTATCTATCTTCAGTTGAAGGTGGAGGCGAAATTCCTAATATCATAGAAAAGTTTGGAGGGAAGGACTACAACACAGAGGAGAGAGAACCAACCACTTACTCAAGCTAAAGAGGACCCCAGAAGAATGGAAAAACAGGATTTGGGGGAAAGCATTTCCTTGTGGATGTAAATGGGCCATTCTCATTGTTAGGGAAAATGCCATGCTTTCTGAAGCAGCCACCAAGTGGGGAACTAAGTTGTTAGGGAGATGGAACATTGAGATAATTGGGGGCATGTCCTAGATTGAGGATGGAATATTGCAGTTTCTCACCTGTTGTGGTTTCCTTCTTAGTGCTGCCCTTGGGCTGAACTGCAAGTGGCCAATGGAGGCTTGTCTTTTTAACTGGTTAGGCTTATTGGGGGCTTTGTCCACAGGTGGGGATGGTTAATGTGGGGTAATGAGATTAGGCAAAGCTGGGGAGCTGGGTCATGGGGAGGGAAGGAATTCAATCTCCATCTTGCGATGTTACTATTTAATTTTATTTCTTCTATTAGACCTAAGATTTTACGGTCAGACCAGGATGGAAATATTAGACTTTCCTATTTTCTGGACATTGTTGGTTTTTCTTCTCTTTAGCTTCACCCTTTCCTGGGAAACACCCACTTCTACAATTCCTCTCTGGAAGGAGTGTATTTGGATGAAAAAGGGGAGCTGAGTGCTGAATTTGATATTGTGAAGTGGGAGACATTCCCCAATCAGTCCACCCATGCCGTGAAGTTTGGACAAATACACCAATGTCAAGGATCTTCAGAAATGCATTTCACCCTAGACCAAGATGGGTGGTCCAGGCTTTTTAACCAGGTGGGTGCAACCCATTCCTCACACTTGGCTGAAATTCTAATAGATGATAATTATTTAATGTAACGTTGTGGGTAAAGAGTGAAGATTATGTTCACCATCTGAAGGAAAGGCGGGATATAAATCAGAAAATCAACAAGAACTATTCTATTATACAAAGATGATGGTTAATGCTGGATTGAAGAACCAGAACCATTTTAATCATGAGACAGAGAGAGAGAGGGACAGGAAATTAATTTCAATTTGGAATATGTTGAAAAATACCATGCCTGGTGTTCCTTCCATAGCATTAGAAATGGCAAGAAGCATCCTACAAAATGTACAGAATAAAAATGGTTCCATGACAGGATTCAAATGACCTGCTGAACCTTTCTCTTCTAAAGGCTCATTTCCATGGACAGCATCTAATGTTTGGTGGTAATGCTTTTTTGTTGTTGTTAGACATTTTGTCATTCCAGATGTACTGGAAGATGTCACCCTGGAGAGGCCAAGATGGTTCTGGAAGGAATGCCCCTTTGCTGCTACGGCTGTTCCATGTGTGCAGAAGGGACCATTTCCACTCAGGAAGGCAGGTGTCTCCAGAAGGAGCAGGACTTTATGAACTGAGCCCAACTAACTTTTCAGACTGATCAAGGATTCACTGGCTTAACCGATGGACATGTGAACAGAATGTGTGCTCCAAGAGATTTATAATTAAATTATTTCTATCTCATTGTGGGAAAGATTGAAGAAAGAGAAGAAATGAATTTACACTAACGTGAAAATGTCACCCAAAAGTTAACAGAATAAATTCAGTAAAAATGAAATTTAGTCCCAACATCAGGAAATACTTCCTTAGACCCCTTCCAACCAGTTGAAAGCCAAGTATTTAAAGCTAAACGTGGGTGAGAAAGCCATGAAGCATGGAAAAAGGCAGAAGACATGGCTTCTGAGGAGATCTTCTCTAACTTGGTATCTTCCTTTCATCACTAGCCAGCATTTTCTAAGTCAACTTCTGTGCTGTTTTCATCTACCATAGAATTGCTACTGAAAAAAAGTGGGTTCATTATAATAATCTGAGCAAGGTTCCACATACATCATATTTTCTAAATTGAGTAGCATTTGTCAATCAATGACCTCTCTGGGTTTTGTGCACCAGAGTTCACCTGCAGATGGATAATAGCAGAGATTATATCATTGATATTAATACAATTAAACATACTATGCCATCTGTTTTCCTTTCAGATGCAGATTATTGCGCCAACTGTCCAGATGATCAGCATCCAAATAAGGCTCAAGATCGATGTCTCCCCAGGATCCCAAACTTCCTGTCCTACAAAGAACATCTGGGGATCGTCCTGACTTCCCTTGCTCTATTCTTCTGCTTAATTACAGCCTTTGTGTTAGCCATCTTCATTAAATTCTTGGAAACTCCTTTAGTCAAAGCCAACAATCAAGATCTCTCCTTTGTCCTCCTCGTCTTCCTCTTCTTTTCCTTCTTGTCCTCCTTCCTTTTCATTGGTCAGCCAAAGACTACCACTTGCCTCCTCCGACAAACCGTCTTTAGCATCATCTTCTCAGTTGCTGTCTCTTCTGTTTTAGCCAAAACAGTCACAGTGGTGCTGGCCTTCTTGGCAACAAAGCCAGGGAGTAAGGCGAGGAGATGGCTGGGGAAGACCTTGGCCAATTCCATTATTCTTTCTTGTTCTGGTATCCAAGTTGTCATCTGCACATTTTGGCTGGGAACCTCTCCTCCATTTCCTGAGTCTGACATGCACTCCCAGCTCGGAGAGATCATCCTGCAATGCAACGAAGGCTCTGTCCCCATGTTTTATGGGGCCCTTGGCTACATGGGCTTCCTGGCTGCCGTCTGCTTCATGGTGGCTTTCCAGGCCAGGAACCTGCCTGGGGCCTTCAACGAAGCAAAGCTGATCACCTTCAGCATGCTGGTCTTCTGCAGCGTCTGGGTCTCCTTTGTGCCCACCTACCTGAGCACCAAGGGAAAATACATGGTGGCTGTGCAGGTCTTCTCCATCTTGGCCTCCAATGCTGGGCTGCTGGGCTGCATCTTCTTCCCCAAATGCTATATTATTCTGCTACGACCTGAC